GGACTCTCTGGTTCTCTGCGGGAGCCCAGAATTTTGATACTTGGATCAAACTAGCAGAATGCCTTGGACTGTCTGGAGGGGAGCTTCTGAGATCACCCCAAATGTCAAAGACAGAGGTGTCTTCATTCACGACTACAGTGGTTTGGGGAGGGGCCCCTGAAATTCCTGGGTGCCACACGGGGGGGTGGTGGTCCAAAGACAGACTGTGCATATTTAATAAAGAGGCCTTCAATGACACCTTTGATGGCGGAAAGCAGAGGTGCTGCGGGAGGCGAAACGAGTGCTTCGTTAAAGAACAGAGCAAACGGTGCAGGGGGAAGGAGGAAACCGATGGACCCAACTCCATCCCAGTGACATTTCCCTCATGGGGTCAGTAGGGGGGAGGGTGCATGGTGTGAAATGAAGTTGATCCTGTCCCCTGCCCCTCCACCGGCCCCACCCTTGCTGCATTGCAAGAAAGCAGGGACGGCCGGGGCTGGGAGCCGGATCTGGTCCTGCCTCCTTTTCAGGGACCCGGAGGATTCTATGCCAAATGTGGTTGGCTTAGCGCTTATCCATCTGACATCAAACTAGGAGGCAAGGTGAGGGGGCTAGGTCCCTAAATGCAACAGAGGTGCCCCACAGGCGTCTGTCCCAGGCTAGCTGGGAACCTCCCGCGTGGGTCCTGATGAAACGCCGAGAAGGCCCTGCCCTCTGGCTCCAGCCCCCCCCATCTCAAAGGCCAGCCAGGATGCCTCCCGCCCCAGAGAGAAGCGACGGAAGACAGAGAAGCCCTCTGCACGCTCTTACCGGAATCCACCGCTTGCACTCGGACAGGGGAGTCGCAGCAGATGGTGAAGCCAAATCCGTTCTTTCCACGGGGAATCGTGATCTGCGGGCGAAGAGCAAAGTTTACTTTGGAAAAAATACAATCCTTTCAACCCAAGCAGATGTTTTCAGAGAAAAGGGGCATGCTTATGGGGGGGGGCTCCACCCCATTTGTTCATGAAGCCTGCCGGCTCTCCCCTCGAGACACATTTAAAGATGGTCTCTGGTCTTGCTGAGCTGAGCGCTAGCCTCGTCGGTAAAGTGTTTTGCGCAGCTAGGCGCCATACGCAGGAACTCCCCTTTTTCACCAGCCGAATTGGGCATGGAAATCATAAAGGTTTACATAGATGAGCTTCTTCTATACTAGTTCGCCAGGATGATCCCTGGGGCAGGAGTTATTTTAGAACAAAAAGACTGAAGCCCTTTCTGTAAGTCACTAGAGAAAGAACTCATAGCCTTCACAGCTAGAAGGAGAAGCGGAGAGGCAGGGAGGGCTTGACCAGAGATTCCCACGGGAATCTGACAACTCCTTCAAGTGAGTCGTGGGGCGCCCTCCTCACAAGGGCCAGGAGACAGACCAAGGTGGAATCCTGTCTGGTTAACGCAGAGCAATGCCAGAAATGTTTGCCGCTTTCCTGTTTGACCAGGACAAGGGAAAGGACCGCCCTTCCGGCTTCTGGGAAAGGCGATCAGGAGGAGGATCCTCGCCGAGGGCTCCTGCAGGAGCCACCGGGCCCTGATCTAACGAGGTTTCCAGGTCAAGGGGAGGGTACCCGGGCTTTTCTCAGCAAGGAGGCAGAAAGAAGGCTTCCGCGGACATGTGGGGGGAACTTCGGGGGCACCAGGAAGCCTGAAGCAGAGGGTTTGGGCAGCAGGCGGAAAGCGGAAGCTGGCCAAGAGCCTCGTGGAAAATTCCTGGATCTGTAAAAGACAACCCTGAGGCGCCAAGCCAGTGGCTCTTCTGAAGAGGTGCCGTCTGGAGCCCCAGCAGAGGAACAACCTGCTATTCATGCCAAGGGAGTTCCTCCTTCCGCCACTTGAAAAAGTCCGACCAGGATCTCTGTGTTAACCCCAAAGTCCACCTTTCTCCTGCGGGTGACAGCAGCAACCCTACACACGTCAGGAGCCCCAGAGGATTCGACAGGGCTTCCTTCTAAGCAGACTCGGGCCCAAAGTTACATGCTGTCAATCACTCTCCCCGATGCACAAAAAAAGAAAGTGATCCTCCTTTTGGGGAAGCTGGACCTTCGGCTGTTATTCTGCCTTTTCTTTCCCGTAAAACAAAAAAACAAACCCAGAAGAAGCATCGGAGGGGAGGAGAAGGGGACGGACAGGAGGGGGAGAAGTGAAAGAATCAGTACAGTAATTGTACGAGATCGGTGGCTGTCACCGGACAGCTGATGTAGGCATCCAGTAAAAATAATCAAAAGCACAAGATGTGAAAACTCTCTTCTGCTGGAGAAACAACTGCAGAAGAGGCCATGAACGGTTCCTGGCAAACGTTAGAGTAAAGCAGAAGAAGAACGGTGAACCATCGTCATGTCAACATATAAGTGAGATAACGTTTCTGAAGAACTGAAAGAGCACATAAAGAAAGGAGAGAATGATGTCGGAAAACTCAAGCAAATGGGAGCCAGAAGGGCCGTGGATTAAAACCAGAGATATTATATCAGAACCGAGCATAAAATGAAGAGCGCTGTGCTCGTAAGAAAAGAACAACATCAATGGAGGGCTCCGGAAACGATGAAAGTGGATAATGACAGTCGAGAAGCTAAAGTAAAAGCTGATGGTATTGGGTCAGAACACTAAATGCAACTTTTCACTGACTTGCACACAAAGTGCAAAACCAACCCACGATAACAAATGTTGCAAAGAGCCAGAAAAGGCCACCTGGAAAGAAAAACCAAAACATTTAGCCCTTAAGATTCAAAAAAGAGAAGAAAAAAGAAAGAAATTTAAACCCTACTTAGAGATGCTGTGAGATGAACAGGGATGTACATTGTTTGATCAGGATAAAATAATATAAAGACAAGACAGAAACAATATACAGAAAAGATGCAAGGGACATAAAATTCCTTGATGGAAAACTTGCAGTTTTAGAAAATGAAAATCATCATCATCATCATCTTGAAACTGCACAGCTGGAAGGGGCCCTGTGGATTAAGCCCAATCCCTGTCAAGGAGGCACAGTGAGGAACTGAACTCTCAGCCTCGAGCACCATAGCCAGATACTTACATGAAGTGAAAGCTTCTCTCGAAGTAACAGGAATAAATAAAGCACCAGGAGTAAAAAGGACACCCGTAGAGCTATTTCAAACCCCTACAGACTGACTGTACTAAATCCTACCAAGAAAATTCCACATACATTCAATCTCAAAGAAAGGAATCATTAAATAACCTGGTCATTATCCTTTAGCCGCTGAGAAAGCAAGCCGTCGCCCCCCCCCCGGCCAAGACTGCTCCCCTGCCACACACCAACTGGTGCTGCCAAAAAAGTGGGTGCCTTTTGAAGCCCTGCACACCTGAGCAGGGGAGAAGGCAGAGGCAGAATCCAACCCACCTGCTGATAACGCTGCTCGGAGCACACCCGACACAGCTCATGGAAGCGACTCATGTCCGAGGCCTCCTCAGGGCTTGCCACTGGCCCGTGGAAAGCTGCACCATTCCCCCCACCCACCTGCCGGCTGGGCTCCCTGGCCAGGGAATGCAGCCGAAGGACAGCAAGAGAAGCCCCTGCCTGCCTGCCTCCCAGTCTGACTGCCGCTCCTGGCATGGCTGCCCTGGGAACCTGGGAGCGCAGGAGAAGAATCGCAGGAAGCCGCCCCCCTCCCTTGCCTCCCCCAGCGGCCTCCGCCAAGTGCGACTGGACGATAAGGCCAGAGGCTTCCTGAGAACAACTCTGAGGGACAAGGACGAGAGCCCGGGAGCTCCGGGTCCAATTCCGGTCAGCTCTTTGGGGCCGGCGGCCTTTGTTCCCAAGCCCGATCTCTCCGGGCGTGTTGGCGGATGTAGGAGTGGGCTGTGCTTTTCCTGGCACTGCCAAAGCGGGCAGGAAAAGATCTATTCTTATTTGAAGGGGGAGAGGTAGGGGTGTGTGTGTGAGAGAGAGAGAGAGACAGACCCACAAGCCACAAAGCAAGGAGTGCCTTTTCAAAAGAAAACTCCTCTCTCCTGTTCTCACATCCACAAGCAGAGATTTCTCCACCCTCTTCGCCCATCGCCCCAGCCTTGCCAACTGCCCGGCATCCTCGTTGTTCCAGAGCCACTAAGGGTGGTCTCCGAATCTTCTGTGCTTTATGACGAGCCTTTTAAGCGCTCGTTCAGCCTTGCTGTCCAGATTCTGCTCTCAGCAAGTGGACTTCTAGCGCACCTCGTCCCGTGCGCACAACTCGAACGAGGATGGGCTGGGAAACACCCATCCTTTAAGATCCCGGGTTGAGGGATCTGTTTTGCGTCCACATGCTAGGGCAGCTGCGACGCCCCCAACACTCACCTTGACCTGCTCCATGTTCTCTTTCTGTGGGTCCCCCAGAAACATGGCCGGCGTGGTCAACATCGGGGCTGCAAAACAGAAAATAAGTCCATCGAGAAGGAACGGCCCCATCCTCCCTTCCATCCAAGCATCACGCTTCACACCTCGACAGATCGTTGAAGCCGATGCGAAGCAACGCTTGCCACTCGAAACAACAAATAAAGTTTTGGCAACCGGTCCTTGAGGTTCCTGGCCTTCTCTCGGCCTCCCCCTGGCCCATTCATACGATCGGAGGATTGCCAATAATCGTCTTGCTTTTCATCCCACCCGCTCATTTATTGTTCTCCGCTCCTCAGTGACACCTAGCCCCAGTGGCGCCCAAGAACCAACCCGAGCCAATAAAAATTCCAACCAAAAAAATGAAACAATATAGATTAAAAACCACAGTGCAAGTGGATGGCGGAAGTCGCCAAACGATGGCCAACCGCACAATCCTTAGCAGACCAGGATACCTATCTATTGATTTTAGAGATTTTCACAGAAACGCTTCCAATACGGATTGCGGCAAAATTTTGCCATGTTTCAAAAGCCTTCCGTCTCTGTCTAAAGACCGCAAGAGAACAGGCCAAGCACGTCTCCCCGGGGGAAAGGTCTTCCGGGTCTCTCTCGGGCCCGAGGCTCTGGCGCTTGCACCCCTGCCGGTTTTAATACAAGGAGGAGGGGCTCAGAGGTGGTCTCCAAGAAAGGATGCCGGACAGTCCAACGAGAGCCATGGATTGATGCTGGTTTATCCAGGTCAGGATGGGGGACCCTTGGGAGAGACACTGCTCCGCTGGTTCCTCTCCTCTGCCTGAGGGGTCTGCTCACGAGTAACCCACCTCCGCCCTCCTGCTTGGCACGCTTTGGGGCCACTTTCAGGTGCTTGGTTCTTCCCAGGTCCTCCCCCAGCAGGTAGTACCAGCCGTAGATCTCCTGGGTGGGCAGAGGGACAGAGAAAGGCCTTGCTTGCTTGCCTGCTTCCTTTCCAGCACCCACAGAGTCTCCCTCCCTCTTTGCAGCCAACATGTTTTGGCTCACTAGGAAACGGGGGCCCTTCCGGCCTGGGCCTGCTTTTCTCCCAGGGTCTGTCCACCACCCTTACCAGGAAACAATGGCCCGGCCTGCTTTGAAGTTTTGCTGGAAGGAGGAGCAACAGAATTGGCCCATTAAAGCGGCTAAAGACCAGTTTTTGCATCCACTATTCAGGAGGATGTTTGGTTTTTTTTTTTTTTAAAGG